AGTAATCCATAAAATCCGTCACAAAAGCTAAATCCCACAACCAATCTTTATTTCTAAGTGAGCATTCATCTGAGAGTTTATTATCCTCTTTTTAAACTCTAAAAACCAAATTTCTTAAATCTTAAAACCTTTCTAAAAATTGACCTCGAGATAGCCAAAAAACAGTGCAACGTAGTAGTAATTCATGCTGTTCTTCTCCTTCATTTGAATTTGTGAGAAAAAATTGGCGGATTCCCCTTTAATGAAGAGCCCTGATGTGTATGTGGTAACATTCTCACAGGGTTTTATTCTGTCATTACTCTCCCTTTTAACTAATACATATAAGTTGGCCCTCTATTTTAATCAAATAATTTTTTTCGGTTACAAAAAGTAATGCTGAACGTTTTGCTTTGTTGGACACTCAAGTAATGTTTATTATTAGTAATAATACTTTTCAAAGGTAAATAAATAATATATTAAGCACACAACTAGAAGGATAACAGTATATGAAAAGTCTCGAGATGTTGTTTATCTTAATACTGGTGCGTGATAGGCAATTATGGAGGGTTTTTTTATATTTTTTAGGTATACACAATTATCCTCATGTATTGGATGATTGTTTGTGCATATATTATTTTTAAAAAAGTTTTTTTAACGTAAACCCAATCGCAAAAACCAACTACTTAAAAAGCTCTACTACTACCAGCCAACGAGACTTACAAATTCAAACTTTTTGTGCAACTGGCCAACTTTAAATCGGGCAATTAACATGCATTTTAATAATATGGCGTAAATGTAACGAACTTCAAGTGATCTAAACGGGCTTATAATAGTAAAAAATGTTGTTAAGCAGTTATAAAAATGTGCTTAAATTTTTTAACACTAGAAAATATTATCTACTACACAGCGCCTTTTTTAATTAAAATTGTTTAAAGGAAGTTAACGTCATAAGTACACATTACTAAAAAGAACTTGTTCTTTTCTGACAAACTCTTATTAAATTTTTAAAACATTCTTGGTTAGCAAGACTAGCAAAAATTCAAACTTAGTCTAACCAAAAAAAAAAAGAAGGAGAACTTCTAAATACTTAAAACGGTTGCTGAATATAGATGCTTTAGTTACCCGTAATAATTTCTAAGTTACGTAAAGAGAATTTGATTTATTTAAAGTGAATTAGAGAGTTAAAAAGGCTAAATATTAGTATTAGTTTTTACAGTTAGAAGGTTAACAATCACAGGGACTTTAGGGTCTCAGTCTAGGATAGGGTTTGTAATTTTTAATTAAATCAAGTTAATGTGGCAAAATATTTACTATTGTTCCACTCCCTAATGTAGTTAACAGTTGAGAATTTATGTGCGTCCAGAGATAATTATAGTCTATAACGACTAAGATGAAAACCAGATGCCCCATTTCAATGCTTTTCAAGGTTAGTGTATAAATGCTTCTATATTCGCGCCTTCTACCTAACTATTGCTATACGGGTGTAGGCATACAGCAGTTCATGATCCAGTCGCTGCTTCTTTCCTACTCCCTTATCATTGGCGTAGGCGCTAATAGTTAATATATACTACGGGTACTGAGGCAAGAATTAACAGTTAAATTAAACTAAAGTAGGATGCAAACGTCGACTCCGGTTAAGAGTAACATTTTTTTAAATTGGTCAGCATTGAAGATAGTATCAGTCGTAAGTAATTAGCAGTAAGAATTAAGGGAGCACCTTAGTAAACAACTACAGAGTTGTGAAAAGTTATGAGTAAAGAATTGCATGCTTTAAAGGATCAAATGAGTTCTAAGCTTTAAGAAGAGGTGACGCTGGCAGATCTCACGACATATTTACGTCCGCTTATCTCTAAGAGAACTTAGAAATTTTGAACTTTTAACCAAAAAGCCTAAATGTCTCTAACGTTGCAAAAGGTATAGTTAGAACCAAAGAATTTTCTAAGGTACTTTTATCAAAATAACCTAAGCCTTTTCCCTATCTTTTATTTCATCTTTGACCTAGGCATTCGACACCAGTTTTTTTCTGCTTAAATTTGAGTGGTTCCAACTTCATTACGCTTCTTACGGAGGGATCCCAGCTCAAATTATATATTTTTTCTTGCCAAACTGTTGATATTCTTGGCTTTCACAGTTTTGCTTTACACAATAATAAGGCTCTCCTTAGGTTCATAGTTATTACCAAATCTTTTTCTCTCTTCAGGGCAGCGAAAGCCAGCAAGAAACGTCGTCGAGACTTCATCGAAATGCCTCTCCACTACTTTATCGTCACCTCCTGAAGTTCTAGGTAACATAAAAAATCTAAAATCTTCTTTTCCGAGCAAAATATCCACAGTCATAGCGATCTCATAAGATACAACACATAATACAAGCTCTTAGTATCTACTTAAAAAGACAATTATTAGCACCGGGCCCATGTTTTTAGTACCTATTTCTTCTAAAAACTGTAAACTTCTTCGGCGCGACCCCTCTGAAAACAAAACCAAACTTTGTAACGTGCTGACGCTAATAAACCTATCGTCCGCCCCAAAATCCAACAGAATTTATGCAATTTCCCTTTATCTGCCCTTTAGCTAAGTTATATCGCTTTTTAACTAACAGACGCTCAACCATTCATTAATTTACAGGCATCTCTGTTTATGTCAGTAACTAAACAAGAATACTTCCTAAAAATCTTTTGGTGTTTCTCTTGCATTTTTACATAAACGAGCATAATGGTAGCCCCCACATGTACAGCGCTCCGCAAAGGTTCTCAGGAGGAGCGTGTCTAACACTAAGGGTCATTAACCTCACCGTTTCTATCAACTCTCAGTGGGGCTCCTCGGCTTCCCATTAAAAGTCGGCATGGTAACATCCTTATATTGTTCGTCAACTAACTAGCTGAGTTTAAGGACCAATTTAAGTGTCTGTCGGCAATCATCGGTTTGATATATTTCATCAGGTCCTGCAAGGTATTAATGTCCTCCTACTTGACACTCATCTCGGATCTTCGAGCATTTAGCTCTAGTGAAACTCTGAATTAATTCTTCTTTATCCCCGCGCCTTTCTGTCGTCATTCTTCGCTTCTGTAAACAAAGGTTGCACAATGTTTTCTTAAAATTAATACTAGAACCGGGCGTCCTTCTTTCATTACCTGAGTGAATCATAGCGCTGTTTAAAAATAATTTTTTTTTTTGAAAGTTTATATAATTTAGGAACGAGAATGTTGTTCTAAAACTCACATTTTTCTAGGGTAATGTCTAAATTTAGTGCTTATAGAGATAGCAAAGGATAACAAGCAATTTTTATATTTTCAATCCGTTTCTAGCAAAATATACAAGGGAACACGCACTGAAAAAAATATTACACCAAAACCCAACCCTCTCGCAAGCTTCAAGACACACCAGAAAAGGACCTTCAGAAAAAGACTTCTTGCGAATTCTTCTCAGAAGTTATTTATACCCTCAAATCGAGGCGCATGCCAAGTTTAATTAAAAACATTCAGGAAAGTTCTACTTGCATAAATATGTAAAGAACAATTAAATGCAATACTCTAAGACTAGATGTTCTAGTGATAACGCATTCTAAATTAATGTGCGTTTTGTTTATAATAAGAGAATAATGTTCCAAGGGCAGTGCACATGTGATTTTATAAGTTTAGCTCGCACTCCCGCTGCAATTTTTTTTTTACTTTTTCCATGTTAGTAGTGCGATTTGGCCTGGTCCGCCTGGGAGTCTATAATAATTAAATAAAAAAAATTTACTTCGACTTTCCTGTATTATATTACTCTATTGTCTACTGTATACTTTATATTAATCTATCTTATATTATTTTACCGCCTACAATATACAAGTTTTGAAGACTTACAGTCTGTTGAATCAACATTTTTAAAAACTATTGTAGGCTGCTATTTTCATACAATTTTAATATCCATTAAAAGTAAAAAGCTTAAAGAAGCCTTAAAACTTGTAATTTCTATTTTTATAAAGAAATCCAAAATTACAGGAGCTAGAGGTGTACTAATAAATTCTCGGCAATTTATAAAGTAAAATAAGTGGCTTATAAGATCTATAGATATTAGAGCTAGATTTTAGGATAATTATTATATTTGTATTTGTATAAATTTTTAATAGTTGATATTTATACTTTAGAAACTATTAAATTAAGGGCAAGATAAGCAACTATTACTGCATAATTACTGGCTATTTAAGTTAATATTTCATTTGTAAAAGGAAGCATCGCTTGCTAAAAAAATTTGTACTTTTTTTTCCTTTTCCTTGAATAGGTGGGGTTAAGGTTGGCTCTTGTATATTTGTCTAACAGCTCTAGGCTCTAGGGCGTAAGCCATAAAAACTAACCATTAATAAATGCTAGTTAAGTTAAACGTAACTATGAACCTTCTGTCTTTGCCGGTTTGAAAACATTTAATGTGAAAGGAACTAAGACTTATTTTGTGATCGTGGCAAACTTTAAAAAAAATTTAACAGGTTTTATTGTTAGTTGTAAATTATTATTTATACCTTTTTATGTTTGCTATTATATAGGAACAATTTAAAACCTCTGAGCTTAAGTTATGTTCATTTAGAGAAATAAACTCTTCGAGCATAGAACCCAGTGTGTTTACTACAAATAAGAAAATGCCTTATTCCAACTTTTATAATAAAAACTTGAATCAGTGCACACCTCGCGAAAATTTTTTTAAAGAAAATTGCGAAGAGTGTTCCTGTATTAGAGAAAAAAGTGCTGGCAACCTTAAAAAGGCCAATAATCCAAATTTTAATAAAGAAAATTGTGGGGAACATAACGAATTTCTACCCCGCGATAATTACTTACTTGAAAATAGAGTCAACTATTTTAAGCCGCAGTTACCTAATTTTAAAAATGACTCAAAGGTTGTAACTATTTCTTCTGAGGAGCTGAAAGGGCTGCTTGAAGAGTTATCAAAAGCTAAGAAACAATTGCGTCACGTTAAGTTTTTACGCCCTTTTTTTCCCTTACTTTTCATAAAGTTGCTTTACAGTTTTAACTTTTTTTCCTTTTTTAGTTTCAAAACAGTTCTAGTAAGCAGATCAAGCTTTATAATCAGGTTTTTTTTTCTTTCCATCCGTCTAAATGACTTTTTAACTTTTGTAAAAGCTTAAAGATACCTACAAATCCGTTGTTAGTGAAAATCAGCGGCTTCTCACAGAAAGGCAAAAGCTGAAAAGTTTATGTAATAACACGAAAAAAATGTTAGCTAACGTAAAGAGTGATTTTAAGATAGCATTTGAGGTTTTAGAAGTTTTATATAAAAAATTCTGTCTTGGCCTTATTTAGTGATTAGAAAGAAAGTTCCAATCTTGAAACTCGGATGGAGTCCCACTTTTGTAAATTCCAAGCCGATTTAGATGTACCTTTAAGGAAGTTGTTGTCTATTGAGGGTAAAGTGTCGGAGTTGAGGAAAAAATGCCAGCGGTATCACTTATTATTTTATTTAGAAGTGACCTTCTTTTAACGGATACATATATTAACTTTTCAGTAAAATTGCTGCTTCTCTCCCTTCCGGGAGATCTATTGGTTCTACGCCTCAACTTTATCCACAACGGGAACCTTATAAAAACCGCACTCATTATACACCTGCTTCATTTGGATTTTTCTCGCCCACTACTCTTCCCTTCACACCCATCAAACCTGCGGAGGTTACCCCGGCTTTGGTTTCTCAAGAAAATGAAGCACTAACCGACTTGTTTCGATTAGAACAAAAAAATCTTGAAACTCTTTTAGACAATCAAATTTATATGTTTTCTGAAAAACTAAATGAGACTGGTGAATTTTATTACATCTTTGCAGATTCCCTTCTTTACAAGTTAATTTGCAGTTATAATTATTGCCACCCAACTGCCTTTATTAGAATTATAAGGAAAAGAGTTGCCCTTTGTAGGCTTGTGAAAAGTTATTAGATTGTTAGCTAATATTTTTTGTATACACTTCTGTAGAATTAGTAGACGTGCATATATCTACAGTCAATAAGGTTATTAGTAATACATATAGTTAAAAGGCTACTCAGGAAGGAGGCTGTTTTCTTTACACAAACTACGCTGTTTAGTATTAATTTTAACTTACTCAAGTGAAAGTGATTCTAAAGCTTCTCTTTAGTACCAATTTTTTTCGAAAAAGTTTCGCGGTCTCTGTATACCTGTGACCCAAAAAGTTTGTAACATTATCTTAGTGTCACATAGCTTACACTTGGGAAGTGTACAAAGGAGTTAAGTTTTCACTGCAGTGAAAGACATTTCCTCTGCAGGTGTTCACTTGTTGGCGGAATCGACTTCTAGCGATAAGAAATATAAGTTCGGAACACTAAAATATATATTAATTCATTCATCGGTTACAATTCAACAAGGTAACCAATCCCCTTCCCTCTTAGACATTTTATTACAAACAAAAGGACAGTTGTAAGGCGTGAGTCTGGCACACTAGAAAAGAACGATATTCTCTCGGTGAAACAATAATTATTAGGGTTTATTACATAAATTATTTCTTATCTTATATTTAGAGTTAAATAAGATGTCTCGCATTCCTCACGGTGTATATAACCATAGCGCTCACTTGAGGATAGCTAATGAGAATTAATCATTAATTACTGATTGCGTAAGTTGCTAGGTTACGCCAACGCATGGGCAGCAAAGTAACTACCATACTCTACCGCTACGTAAGTTCGGGTGCACACAAAAAATTGATTATGGGTCGTTCGCAAGAAGATATTTATTTAAATTAAGGAACATGTTTTGAAACATGCTAAACAAACGGGAATCTTCGGTTAATATAAATAGTTGTTAAACTAGTAATGAATTTTTCACGGCCTGTAAAAAATTATTTAAGGGGCGTTCTTGAGCGAAAAAACTACTTTAGTAAGACCAGCTTTAAATAGTTAGTGTAGTACTATTTACTTAAATAAAATTATTTTTATTTATATGCTGGTTTGCCGATGCAAAGCTAAATAAAAGTTAAAATAGAATACCTATCCTAAGCTATAAAACTTTTAAGGGACTACCTTGAACTAAAGCTTATGTACAGCGATATACTAAAGAATAGATAGGGTTCTTCTGAACTACTGCGTTATCTAATTTTTTGTAGTTTTTATGCAAATAGCTAAGGTTGAGCTGTTAAGTGTTTACTTTATAAGAGCTGCCAACAATGTTTGCAATTTTTATGTTATTTCAATAGCGGGTAAAGAGCAAAAGTAAACTACCTACTAGCATGTGTCATAAATAAAAAAACAACATGTTTATTATATACACATACATGTATAATTAGGCGGTTCTAAAAGGACTTCACCAGATCATGTACTTCATTGAGTAATTTTGCTCCTTTATAGCACTTTAACGATCAAGAAAGCTAAAATTGTGCAATAACTTTAAGACGGTATATATATTAAAAATCTCTTTTTTTATTCCTTAACGAGTAAAATATTATAATAGAACATATGGAAATTTGCCGTTCTTCTTTTTATTATACGCTCCTTAATACCGCTTTAATAGCTGAGTAATTTAAAATTATATTCAATAAAGCAATAGTTATTCTTAGAGGTAAATTTTAATTTCACGTTTTTAATATATACTACCAATCATATATTTATGAGCTGAGTACCAGCTCATATTATATTAAAAAAAGAAAAACACATTAAACAAATCAAAAAAAAAAAACAGGTAACACAAAAAATATTCTAATTAAAATAATTAAGTATTTAATAAATAAAGAACAGCTTTAATGATCTATTGATAATAACACAAAAAACCATAAACTGAACAAATGATTACAAATTAATTTAACAATTATAATTTTTTGTTAGTTAGTGTAAGAATCAAGTTTCTTGCGCATATATGGACTTAATTTTATCTTTTTTTTTGTTACAGATAAAACCTGTCAATAGATCCGCACTCGATTTCTCTCCCAATTCTCAAAGGCCTGGAAGCCGTAGTGGTCCACCTCAATTTGGCGCTAAAGCATCGCTATTTCCAGGTGGATCCATCACCTTCGATTCCTCACTCTTAAATGACGCAGTTAAAAATTCATGACGTGGTGTATCGCCCTAGCCGTCTGACAGAGTACTTATTAGACTTATTCGTCAACACCACCGGCTAATACGCTTGGTTACTGTTACATAAATCCTCGCGACAAACTAATACTAAAACGCCTATACAGACACAGTGGATAAAAGCTGGCCGCTTCTTATGAAATGGCAAAGCGCGTAATGTAGCGGTCGACGGAGGATGGTCATCTTATTGGCGCTTTGTTAAATGAATTAAAAACTACCACCGCCAATTAGTAATGACGTGATAGGGGCTGAAAGCGACGAAGATAAGGCGGTGCTTTCTACCGATCATATAGCTGCTCAGTGCGTACCTTCAACTTCGGCTACCTTCTGAAAAGACATAACACCGCATGACCCCTTAAACGTGGGCGATGGACTTACCAAACTGAGCACAGCTAGGGATTCTAGTAAAATTACCCCCAAGGTCAAAAAGCGGAGACCCACGCGCTTTACCCGCTGCTGTGTGCAAAAAAAGCACAATATCCCTGCGCAATAAACCCGCCTCTATTAAGCGTGCTTGTATTTTATTATAATCTACTTATCTTGAACATATGCAAAACCATCGACGCTGGCACTCCCGCGGAAGCAAAAAAGTAAGCTTCTGCCACTAAAGTTGCACGACGACCTGTCTGTAGATCGATTTGAAGTCTTTTTTTTAAAATGCAACTACTATTGCTTTTGAACGTGTCTTTTTGGGCACCCAAACCACCAAATGAGCTAAAGAAATTACATATGAACCCTGGATAGATGCGCTCTTTCTACAGCTCTGCGATGCGCTGTCCGCACTTACTGTTTATAAACCTCCACAGCTGAATACAAACTGCGTGAAAGGATCTAAGTTATTAGCAAAACTAGGAACTCTGTGTTCAATTCTTTTAAGCATCTGCACAAACCATAATATAAAATTATAAAATACAGTAAAACCCATCCTTTGCAATACACATTCATACTCATTTTATTTTACATAATAATAATGAAAAAAGTTTTATATACTTTTACACCTTTTCATATACAAATCTGTTAAGTTAGAAGCGCAATAAATTCCACTTAACTTTAAACATAACTCTTATAACTGGTGAACCATATCACAAACAAAGCACTATTTTAGAACAGCAAATTTAAAAAGCAATCACGGATATACCCAACAATTCATGTTATAGGCACAAATAATATAAAAAAAAATTTACTAGAATATATGCTACTAACCTCCTTACAATCAAAAATTAGCAATTTAGAACTACAAATAAGGAGGAAAGTATATAACTCGCAGGAACATCCTAAACTATTTATATCGACATTTCATGCACGAACAACACGAAAACACATACGGAAAGGAATTGTATGGAAATAGAAATGTTACAGTTAATATGCAATTTTAATTAAATCTCAAATCAACCAAAACAGCAAAGTCATTGAATTAGTATTAAATACTGCTTCTCAACTTCATTATTTAAACGACCATCGGTAACTTAATTAGCTTATTACAACATAAAGCAACTTTAGTTAATATAATCACAGGAAGTTAAATTGTCAGTTGGATGAAAAGCAATACCTTGACCAAAATTAAAACACAACCTAATTTTTATTGCCATATTAGATAAGAACGGTTTCACCGTAATATTTGACAAGCCTCTCACAATTATTACATAGGATGGTAACATCATAAACAGGCCAGCAAACAGAATGGATTATACAGGGTAGGCTCAAACGGATGGCTAATACTAATGCATTTAAGGCACATCACAAAATAAACCAACCAGATGAACATAAAAATCATCATAAAAATATAGTTATAGCATACTTAAATCAATATAATAACCGCACATAAAACCATATATTTTCCATCACTGGGTATATGCATGGAAAAAAAAACTATAAAATTGAAGAGTACGAGTAAATACAGTCAAACCCATGTCAATCGGAAACTAAACAACTGATATACGTAAACAAACTTTGAAAGGAAAGGATTTTAGTGCATAATAGTCGGAACTGATGCACGTTCTAAACAACAACTATCTTCATTAAAAACAAATGCAAAATAAAAGAAAACCTTACTAACTAGGTATATGAACCCCAAACAGAATAAATAGAAGTCGGATCAGACAATGGGGTTAACTCCAAGGGATTTAAAACCAGAAACATATAAAATTGGAATACTTCTTATCTGCGTTCCTAGGGATACACCCAAGGAATATACACTCCTATACTAATTAAAGTGATGCTCCGTTTTTTTAGTACTGCTTATATCCAACATTAAACAATTGACAATTAAGACAGCGGGTTATAACAATTGCACGTCTTCCTACAAAACTATTAAAACCTTGTATTCATACACATTTTCTAAGACTTATGTCTAATTAGAACAAAATAAATGTGCTAGTGAACCAATGTGGATTTATACCAGTAATTCCAGACAGGTGCCCAGCAAATTATCTTGAAAAATAGCAAAAAAATGGGTATTAACCCCATATATAAGTGCAAGCGGTTGAAAATAGTGTTGAGCTAAGCATTGGGCAGATAACACATACGTCATCAGAAGTACGAGCGTAAACTTTTAAAAAGGATTAAATGTTACCACTAAGCGGAGGACGTATGTACCCCATGAGTAGCCTGCACATGCTCTATGAATGTTATAGTTTTTCTTTGAGTTCAGAGGAAAACGTGGGAGAACTATTTACGATGTTTTCATTTTTTAATAGTTTCGTTTTTCAGAAAATGGCGCCGCTGACTCAGGTTATATTAAG